CATTATATTTTATTATTATATTTATAAAGTGCTCCTTTGTGACCACAGACTGTGAATCAAACTGAAAGTGGGATTTAGGAGAACAGCTCTGTATCCCTGAATGATGTCATGTGGTATAAAAACTACTAAGTATGACGAGTACATGAAGTAGTAGCTTCTTCTGCTTCAGTGCAGTAGTCTCAGCTGCAGCAAGGTGAAAGGTAACTTGCAGCCTCATAAAATAGCCCCCTCGTACAGGTTACTCAAATCTTTGCTTCCCTTTTGTGATGAATTCCCCTGTGTGAAAGCCCTTCTGACACCGGCTGCTTACTGCTCAGCAATTCCCTTTGAATCACTGGTCTTAGCAACCGTTTGCCTGTCAAGTGCCCGATGGTGCACAGTGTGCATATTTAATCGTAACAGTAATCCTCTTACCTTTCTACAGTCAAATTTCCAGGCACCAAAACCTACATTGACCCTGAGACGTACGAGGACCCAAACAGAGCTGTCCATCAATTTGCCAAGGAGCTGGACGCCTCCTGCATTAAAATCGAGCGGGTTATTGGAGCAGGTGAGCCCATCCTGCGTCTTTCAGCTTGTGCTGTTTAGTCACTCCGCGCTCTCGTATATCACACTGACAGCCAAATATTTACACCTTGAGTAGGGACACAGCTTCATGCATTGTATATTGATAGTGCAATTGCAAAGAGGAGAAAAAGTTCATTGCAATTAATGTGTGTCTGGTGGAGGCAGTCGCGGAGATTCCCGCTGCTGAAAAATTGCTGCCACATGGGTTTTACGGAGGCGGTCAATGACAGTATCTATGCATCTCTAGCATGTCTTATTATAGGTCTTGGTTACACTCCCCTGAGTATAACAAGATGTCGCACTCCAATTTGTATTCCACCACAGCCCAGCTCCTTTGTCTCAAAATACGCTAATGCATTTGTCATCGTGAGGTGCTTGATTTTTCTTTTTTTCAACCTACCGCACCAATCGCTCACTCACAAATGGTTTCGTCCCACACAGGGGAGTTTGGGGAGGTGTGCAGCGGCCGGCTCAAGCTGCCGGGAAAGCGGGACGTGTCGGTCGCGATCAAGACGTTGAAAGTGGGCTACACGGAGAAGCAGAGGCGGGAGTTCCTTTGCGAGGCCAGCATTATGGGACAGTTCGACCATCCCAATGTTGTCCATTTGGAAGGTGTTGTGACGAGAGGTAAATACAGACATGGATAGAAAATGTGAAGTCTAATCTAATCATCAGTGCATGTTTGTTTGGGAGATAAACGCGTCAAAGTTAGACTGACGTTATGTCTGATTAAATTAGCCACACTCCCTGTTTAATATTTTCTCATTTAGACACTGTAATAAAAGGAGCAGATGGTAACTTTTAATTAAAAGCCGATGAAACATGCACCTAAAAATAACTTGGAAGCCGCTCCAGCCCAGTCGTTTATTATAAAGAATTTTGTAGACAAACAAAATGGAATCATCATTAATTAATTATCTCCTTTTTGTCTGGTTCTTTCTCTTTCTTTGTCTCTTTTTCTCCAGGAAAACCAGTCATGATTGTCATCGAGTACATGGAGAACGGCTCATTAGACGCTTTCCTCAGGGTGAGTGTCACCATCGAAGCACAGGAGGCCCAAAGCAGCATCTTTTATGACTTTTCTTTACATTTCCTAGAAAGTGTCCCAGAGAGCAGGCGGTCTGCAGTAGGATCTGTGCATCGCATAAATATCATAAATCTTGTGCTGGAGCTGCTGCAGTGCTGTGACCTACATTTCCCCCATGGTCAGCGAAGATGGCTGACCCGCCTGTGCTTTTTTGTACCATGCAGAAACACGATGGTCAGTTCACAGTCATCCAGTTGGTGGGGATGCTGCGGGGCATTGCGGCAGGAATGAGGTATCTTGCCGATATGGGATACGTCCATCGAGATCTGGCCGCGCGAAACATCCTCGTCAACAGCAATCTCGTATGTAAAGTGTCCGACTTCGGCCTGTCGAGGGTGATCGACGATGATCCGGAGGCTGTCTATACAACATCTGTGAGTCAACTGAAGCTCTTACCCTCTCAAATAAGTCACAGCCGGTGCATGAAGATAGGGCAGGAGTGCGAGTGAATGCCCCAGTAGTCTGCACCGCCTGTATTTTAGCTCAAATCTCTACTAAAGCAACATTTTAGAAAGGGTTTCTAAGTTTTAGCTAATGCTTTACTAATGATAGTAGTCATTTTCTAATGATCAGTCATAAGCCATTAATAAAAAATACAGGAAACACTGAGTTTGTTATAAATGCAATGTTTCAGTCAAGCTTTTGGTTTTCATTTTAAGATTATATGAAGCCATAGACTGCAGGAGTCAGTCACCTGATA